ATCTTCTTTTCTCTGTGATATCTTTAGCAAAAGTACTTTTTGAGAGAGGTTGGACAATGTAGGTAATAAACAGTGTATTAGAAAACCTGCAGTGAGTAAGCCATAGGAAATTTGCAATATAGGGAAAGCAGCTTAATTTAAATAAAAGCACATATATATATAAAAAAAATTGAACCACTTTCTTACACCTTACACCAAACAGCTGTTGCCCTTAAAACCCCTCCTCAGCCCTCACCTTAGGTTCTGCCTTCGCAGTTCACCCAAATTAGGTACTGATTGGTTGGTTTCTATGCCAGTCAGTGTCAAAGCTCTGCCTCCTAGACAGCCATTGGCTCCTTGCAATTCACCCAGATTTGGTTCTGATTGGTCGGTTTCTATGCCAGTCAGTATCTCTGGGCCTATCTCCGGGCCTGATCATAGAGGTGGGGCTGATCAGCAGCCACCCCAGGCTGCTGGCGAGCGGGCTGAACTGCTGACCTCTGGGAGAGAGAGAGAGAGGCTTGGCTGCTGGCGAGGCCTGGAGAGAGGAGCAAGGTCTGATCACCCTGCTTCTCTCTCTGGGCCTCACCAGCAGCAGCTGCTGCTGCTGATCAGCCCCGCCTCTCTCTCTCTCTTCAAGAGGTCAGCAGTTCAGCCCACTTGTCTGCTGCACATGCAGCCTGGCGTTCGGTCGAGCCTTTGGTCGTTTTGGATGTTACAACCCTGGCTCTTTATATATATACTAGAAGCCCAGTGCACAAAAATTTGTGCACTCGGGGAGGGGGGTCCCTCAGCCCGGCCTGTGCCCTCTCGCAGTCTGGGACCCCTCAGGGGATGACCACCTGCTGGCTGAGGCCTGCTCCCCAGGGGATTGGGCCTAAGCTAGTTTAATCAGACATCCCTCTGGCAGCCCGGCAGCCCTCGGGGGATGTCCACTTGCCAGTAGGGAGCAGACCTAAGCTGCAGTCGGACATACTTAGCACTGCTGAGGAGGCAGGAAAGGCTCCCACCACCACCGCTATACTGGCAGCCATCAGCCTGGCTTGTGGCTGAGCAGAGCTCCCCGATGTGGGAGCGCACTGACCACCAGAGGGCAGCTCCTGCATTGAGCGCCTACCCCCTGGTGGTCAGTGTGTGTCATAGTGACCAGTCATTCCCAGTCTTTCTGCTGTTAGGGTCAGTTTGCATATTACCCTTTTACTATATAGGATAGAGGCCTGGTACACAGGTGGGGGCCAGCTGGTTTGCCCTGAAGGGTGTCCCGGATCAGGGTGGGGGTCCCGCTTGGGTGCCTGGCCAGCCTGGGTGAGGGGCTGATGGCCGTTTTCAGGCTGGCCGGTGACTGAAGCTCCCAGCCTCTCCTTTTTTTCTTTTTTCTTTTTATTCTGGGATTTATTTACCTTCTATAATTGAAACTTTGTTGCC